TTTGTATCACTCATCCCTTCCTCCTAGATTGTAAACTCTAAGGAGCCGGGTCCTCTGTTTCCTCTTGTACCAAATTGTATTGTAGCTGTATTGTCTACCTTCATTTTGTAAAGCGCTGCGCAAACTGTTAGAACTATATAAATCCTGTATAATAATGATAATTAAGACTTTGTTGCCATATTGTTTGAGTCAGCATCTTGCCACTGTCTTCCACATGTTGTCTGTTACCTCTAATTAACCAAATAATATTGGTGCCACTTTCCTTGGTCTCTGTATGCCTTTACTCCATCTTGGGTACCAACTGGTCCCGCCCACAAGGTGCCAGTTCGCATCTCAGATATGGACAAATGAATAATGGATTTGTAAACCCAGGTACATCAAACCTCTGATAAATTTTGTGCAGATTAATTTTGAGTATTTGGATTTCGAAAAAAGTTACAAACTTTGTACAGCCCATAAAAAAAATCCAGATAGCTGCAAATTTATGTGCAGAGATTCACAAGAGTCCTCTTGGATACAAATAAAGAGTTGTAAAACAATCTAAAAACAATGTATGAATCCAGCCAACATAAAAATAAACACATCATTGTGACTAGTTGTACTAAGCAATGCAAATGTTTAAAGCGGTACTAAACCCAAAACCAAAAATGTATTATATTGCAACTTACCAATCATTAGATGTGGTGGCTGCATTTGTTTTGTTTTTTTATTCTTAGTTTTTTTTTTTTTGTTTTTTTTTTTAGGTTTTTTTCCGCTCTGTTTTCGCCTGGTGATCTGGACAGTAACAAACCTCCTGAATTAGTGAGACACCACTTTGGAGGAATGAGCCAGAACACAGCAGACAGCAGCATTGTCAGTCTGAGGGGGGATGGGAGTGCTAAATGTATTAGCAGATTTGAATACAAATGACAAATTGAAGCCAAATTCCGGTTAACACTTTAAAATCAGTTACAGCAAACCATTTTTTTTTCTTTTTGGGATAAGGGTTTTATATGAATACATAAAAACTGATCATTTTAATCACCCCTGCCAGTGGTAGATGGATGGTCTCATTCATGTAAGCTGATGCATTCTGCTGGAGTGCTTGAAAAACTGCAGAGTTGCTGGCTGGATCACCAAGAAGAAAATAGAAGAAAGAAAGTCTAAAAAAGGAAACTAATGCAGCCATCACATCTAAGAATTGGTAAGCTGCAATATATTAAATTATATATAAAAGTGCAGCTCTAAAACTATATAAAGTTGTCATACATATATAAATAACACAATAGTTAAATGTGAGTAAAAATAGTCCCAGCAAAGGTGACTTGGAGTAAAAGTGCACGCTAACCAGATGTGCACATTAAAAGTGCAATGTAGAGATCATAAGGCTCATGGGGTAATCATCAGAATGGAAATGGTGTTCCTTTGGTCAGAGAAGATCCCCGGGTGGTGCAGAGCTGGGCAGGAAGAAAACCTCTTGATAACAGGGAACAGAACGAACGTTGATCCACCAGAAGAAACACGACTCCTCCACTGGGCAAAAAACGTATCTGGAAAAAAAGTTGCTCCCCGCGGGGGGGGGGGGGGGGGGGGGTCAAGAAAAGATGCCCATAGTGAAATATTGCATAAACAATTTATTGTAGTAAAAATGACAGTAGCAGAGAGGATGCATCCAATAAAAACAGACAAGCACAGACGGGACTAACCGTCCTGTCAGATGTAATAGCCGCCGGAGCTCCACGATGCTCCGGCGTGACGTCACGGCGTATGTAGGCTCCTCCTTACATGTTACGTGCCAAGCACATCCTCAGAGAAGGAACCAATGTTAAATGTTTGCTTTTGAGTTTAATACCGCTAAGGCTCCGTACACATATAAGTGTATCAGAATCGCAGGATTCTGCGATTCCAGAGCGTGCCAAAATGTGCATTGCGTGTTTAAGTGCCATTCATTGTTAAAGAATATGTAGGCCCAACATTTCAGATTTCTGGTATGTGCCTGCTGTACTTGTATGAAAATGTCTCCTGTTCTCTTTCTATTACTTCCTGGTGTTCCAGCCAGTCCCTCTGCTTTCCTAATAAGAACTGACTACACTGGGCACAGCATGGTCACTGCTGTAGTTATGCTGAAACTCCGCTCTCTTCCAATGATCAGACTTGTTCTGACACCCCTCCCCCGCACAGCCATTCACTGGGAAGATCAGTATGCTGCTGTTTCTCCTCCCCCCCAGCTCTTATGCAGATGAGAACAGAGGGAATGTGATCACTTATAAAAAGGGGGTGGGGGGAAGTGTTTATGATGGAGTTTTTTTTTATATCTATAGACAAATGTTTTACCTTTTTGGCTTCTATTTTAAAATGAATAGGTTGATTTACAAGGTGAAGGCTTACGTTCACTTTGATGGCACCCCAGACACGCTAAAGAAACATGAAAAAAACCAACAAACAACACGCTATTCAAAAATGCGCCAGAAGTCAGGTTCAAAAAACAGTACAGGAGCTACTTTGGCACGTTTTTGGAGCGAAGGCCAGGCCATTCAAATAAACAAGCTGCACTAAAAACTCGCACAAAAACGCACCAAAAAAAAAAGTGACTCTTCTGCGTCACTTAGATGTGAATGCAGCCTTAACCCCCGGTTTTGCACGGGCACGAGAGCCCATTCATTTGAATGGACTCCCGTGCCCGTGACACACAGGGAAAGAAGTCCCTGCACTTCTTTGGAAAACACAGCCCGCACGGGAACCTCGGTTCCCAGTACAGTTGCGTTTTCCAGTGCAGGCGGCACGCCATTAGAACTAATGGCACCCGCCCACAGGTCCGCATTTCTCTCTGTGCGGGTGGTGCGGCTGCAATGATTTTCGTACGGATCCGCAGCGGCACCACCCACACAGATGTGAACCTAGGGTCAAGTACACTTGTATTAACCTCCTTAGCGGTATTCCCGAGTGTAGCTCGGGGTAGAATTTCTATACCACAAGCGGTAACCCCGAGCTACACTCGGGCTTACCATGCGGCGCTGCATAGGGAGTCCCTGCAGAGCTTACCTTGTCCTTCGCTCCCGCGATGTGTCCCCTGCAGCATCCCCGGCCATCTCCTCCGGCCGATGCCGGCATCCGGCTTCTGTGTTCTGGTCCCCGTGACGACGGGACGTACGGGCGGCGGCGGCGGCGGGAAATTTAAAAAATGTCATTTTTTTTTTTTTTTTCAATCTTAAATAGTAAAACATTGCTGTTTCATCCCATTTCACATACATATTGTCCCTAGTGCTTTGTCCTGTGCCCTGCCTGCATTTTGTCTGTTCTTTCTGCCTGGAAACTTAGAAAAGTCCATGGCGTCCGAAAAGCGTCCATTTACGTCAAAAGTGGTTTTAGACCAGCTAGAGAACAGCGATAGTAAATCAGAACCACTTGCAGAATTGAGTGATAATGATTTGTGGGGAAATTTTCCTAAAAATTACAGCCTACAATAAAAAACTATTTCCATGCAAAAAAATGGTACTGCTTTCAGCACAAAAAATCGGAAGGAATCATACCGCCAAGGAGGTTAAAGTGCAATTAAACTCAACTAAACTCAATAAACATGAACTATTTCTAATCCGTATGCTGCTAGCCTAAGTACATAGATAAGAAGGTATATCATACTTACTTTTAATTTTTTTCTTTTTTTTTTACATTTCTTTAGTTGTTTGCTGGCTTCTGGCCCAGGCCAAAATGATGTCATACATCTCGGGAGTCTTCATGAACATATTTGTTCTTTCATCTGGAAGAGGGGAGGATGGGCTTTCTCAGCTAAGCACATCCTCCTGCCTGCATACTTGAGTTAAGGGCAGATGGATTCTAGGAAGTAAATGCTACATGAATCATCTGCCCTTACTCAAGATGGCTGCAGCTAGAAATGCTAGGGGGTGTTTTTCTAAGCAGGGGTGGACTGACAACTCATGGGGCCCCCGGGCAATAGGGGATCATGGGGCCCCTCTGTCCTTGCCCAAACTCAAAAAAGCCTATGAAAATGGTACCAGGGGCATCTCTCATGGGGCCCCCCTACTGACCCCGGGCCCTCGGGCAGTGCCCGAGTTTCCAAATGGTCAGTCTGCCCCTGTTTCTAAGTGATTCCTCAACAAAATAAAGCATGGAGGCATGGATAGAGGGATGAGTTTGCTTGGTAATTAAAAATGAATCCACTAGCGTTTTCAGTTTAAGGTGCTCAGATTCCACTTTAAGATTGGGGAGGGGGGGTGAAAAGATGAGGAGTCTTATGGAGATGAGAATAGGTCTGTGTTGTTTAGAATCCATCAGAAATGAAGCAGGCAGGGCTGACACCATGTGCTTAGGAAGTCAGAGCTGTCAAAATGGAAGGTAGAAGCACACTATATTTCTGGCACATCAACACTTATTTTTCTGTACTTACAGTGTGTTTAATGGGATAAAACATGGGGTAATGTGTATGTTTTTCAGAGATGTACTAAATAATTTTTTGTTTTATTTTGCCTTGACATACCCTTTAATCACTTGCCTACCAGGCACTTATACTCCTAGATTGTAAGCTCAAAAGAGCAGGGCCCTCGATCCCCTCATGTTTTGCATTGTATTGGTATTGCTCTGTCACATGTTCTGTCCCCCTTTGTAATGTACAGCGCTGAGCGAACTATTGGCGCTTTATAAATACTGTATAATAATAATAATAATACCCCCTTCCTTACCAGGCCAATGTTCATCTTTCAGCGCTGTCGCACTTTGAATGACAATTGCGCGTTCATGCAACATTGTACCCATATGAACTTTTTATCTTTTTTTTCACACAAATAGAGAGATTTCTTTTGGTGGTATTTACTTGCTTCTGGGTGTTTAATTTTTTGAGGAAAAATAAAAAATAAAAGTTTTCTTTGTTTCTATTATAAAATTTTGCAAACAGGTAATTTTTCTCCTTCACGGATGTGTGTTGAAGAGGCTGCACTGATAGGCAGCACTGATAGGCACTGATAGGTGGCACGGATAGGTGGCATTGATAGGCAGTACTGATAGGGGGCACTGATGAGCTGGCACTGATGATGGGCACTGACTTGCGGCACTGCTGGGCACTGGGTGGCACTGGTGGGTGGCACTGATGGGCACAGGTGGGTGGCACTGCTGGGTGGCACTGCTGGTCAACGATCATCAGGGCACTGATCATCAGTGCCGATCCCTCTTCTGACAACTGCCGGTTCTCGGCAGTACTTTCCTCATGATGTGACAGCGTGAGGAAAGTGCAGCTGATAACCGGCAATTGCATTTCCCAGTGATCAGTGTGTCATTGGACACTGTTGATCACGTGGTAAAAGGCCGCTGTGATTGGAATTTTACCATATCACGTGATCAGCTGTGTCCGTAGGACACAACGATCACGGAGATCGCTGGGTGCGCTCCCCTGGGGGGCGCAGGAGAGTGCGTTCTGGGAGGACGTCATATGACGCCCTCCCAGAACTGGCCGGCCGCAGTGAAGCCGTCATTCGTTAATGGTTAAATAAGCTTTTATGACATCCGTATCAATACAATAAATGACCTTTTTATAAATTTGTAAAGTGGTCATGTGACTGCTATTCAGTATACTATCCATAGGATTTGAAGGGTAGGGATGGAGACTGCTTGACAATGCACTGTTAGACAATGAGGCACTCAATGGGTGCCATTGTCAATCACTGCAGGGAGGCTGGGCTGCGGGCGTGGCAGCATGTGATGTCACAGGCTGACAACAGAAATACAGGCTCTTGGTACTTCTGCATGGCATCCTGCTATTCATATGCAAAGACTGACTGCTGATCTGATCCTATGGATAGCACTGACACAACCAGGAATCTGGCAAGAACAAAAGACACTGGAAGGAGCACCAGGCTTTTTGCATGACATCTTTTTTGCTGTTCCCTTTCAAATATTGCCTGTAGATCTAAACCCATGGACAGCATTGACAGAAAAAAAGCAGGATGCTGACGAGTGTCAAAGACACTGGGAGGATCACCTGGCATTTGGGGATATTTAGCAGCCATAGCACAAAAGAGCAGACATACTTTAGATTAAAAGCAATTTACAATTTATTAAATTGTTATTTTGTATTAGGTGTACATACAATTTAATAGAGCTCTTCTTGATAAATGAATGTAACCAATTTCATGTTTTCAGTATAGAAACATTTTGCATACTGCAATATTTTATAATAAACCAATATATACCAGAATCTGCGATCAGAAAAATTAAATGAAAGACTAAAAAATAGCAGCTGAACACCATACTCTGATACCAGGAATTCCATATAAAGTGTACAACAAAAAGTGCGGCGCTCTACTCATTAGAATATTAACCACATACAAATCCTACAATCAAAATGTCCACTCTCATGTAAAATATTTTGTGATTAAACTGTGTCTTTAAAGATAAATAATTGTGAAGATTAATCAGTCCCACATGCAGGGATGAAAACAGGAAACCTCCAAAGATAGTGAAGGTGACACCATCCACTCTCATGCAAGGCTAACTGGAAGGCTTGTGACCCCCTGCTAAGAGTGGTCAGTCAGCGCTCTTTAATATGTTATGGGTGACATCATAGGCATTGAAAAATAGTGCCAAACAATTTTTTTCAATAACTGCCTCTTTACTTGGTAATGGCTCCAAAACACTCCAGTTTAAATCAATTGGACAAAAACGTGCGGCAGAAACCATGCAATAAAGATATACTTCACATAGTGTAAAACCGTCTATACAAGAGGATTTATTAAACAGAATTGCGTTCACATAACAATCAGTAAAATCTGCATAGAAAAATTCCAAAGGGAATTCTTCCAACTTCCAAGATGGCCACCCACCAGTTGTGCATGTGTGTTGGCTCCGTCCTACGTGTTTCGTCATACGCGACATCATCTCTTCTATTTATCTTTAAGGGTACTGTTTAATCACACAAATATTTCACATGAGATTGGACATTTGGTTATATAATTTGTATTTGTTTAATATTCTAATGTTTCATAGTTATGAAATCAAATGGAATACAATTTAGAGATTGTTGTCACTTGATTTGATCAAAATGCATTAATGCTATTACAGAAAAATATAAAAAATAAAATTAAAAAAATACATACCGTATTTTCCGGCGTATAAGACGACATTTTAACCCCTGGAAATCGTCTACAAAGTCGGGGGTCGTCTTATACGCCGGGTGCTGTGCTGAAACCTTACCGTACTTCCGGGTTGACGCTACTGCGCATGTCTTCGGCAGCAGTAGACGATCGCGGATCACCGTAGCTCGCAGAACTGCATGAGACGTCGGATGCAGCAGTGCTCGATTGAGCTTGACTGAAACTGTGATATGCAGAGAAGGGTACACAGTGATTCTGCGCATGTCACAGTTTCAGTCACGATCAATCGAGCACTGAACGGCTGCATCCGACGTCTCATGCAGTTCTGCGAGGAATGGTGATCAGTGATCGTCTACTGCTGCCCTAGACATGTGCAGAAGTGTCAGCTCGGAAGTACCGGTATGGTACTGCTGCATCCGACCTTGTCCCCTTAACTGCTATGAGATACGGTAATTAATTATTAATATATTATAATGTCTGTGGCAGTTCTGTGCAATTTATGGTATCTTGGAGACAGGCAGGGCTGGGCAGGCAGGGAGAGCTGACCCACCCAATCCAAGCAGGCTTTGTATGCAGTGTGCACAGTGTGCACAGAAAATACTGGTACATTGCTTGCCGTGATTGGTTGGAAGAGGGGGGTAGTCTTATACGGCGAGTATAGCCCAAACCCTATATTTTAACAGGAAAAATAGGGGGGTCGTCTTATACGCCCAGTCGTCTTATACGCCGGAAAATACGGTATGCATATTGTAGAACATTCACTTTTATATGAAATGTCTAAACCCCTTAGGGCACAGCAGTAGTAGATGTCCTCATGGGGGGAGCATTTTAAACATCATGATGTCAATATGCGCTAATGAATAATGAAGTTCCTTCATGGAAGCCATGTTCACAATTAGACTAGGTTCACACCTAAGCAGTTTGCATAAGATTTATTTCTGCAGTGCATTTTGCGTGTGTTTTCTATGTGGTTTTGATGCGTTTTGCATTTTTTCTTGTTGCTAGGCAGATTAAAACGTAAAACGCATCAAAAAATGCACTACATGCTTTTTTGCACCGTCTATATTGAAGTCTATAGAACCAAAAACGCAACTTTTTGCATTTAAAAAAGTCCCTGAGCCTTTCCAAAAAATGCACCAGGTGAAAACACGGAAATGTGAACGTGTCCTATAGGAAATCATGTTAAATGGACAGTAGTGCGTTTCTGCAAAACGCTGCGGAAAACTCTTAGGTGGGAACCTAGCCTTAAATGGGGGAGGTCAATTAGTTGGCTCCTAGCCAATGATCACTTTCATTTGACAATGATCACCTGACCAAATATAGCATTGCAGCCAGTGCTTTCTCATTGAAACCTATCTTCATGAACCCTTGTTCTCAGGGGTTAGAATGAAAAAGACTGCTACAGTCTCTCAGGGGTTAGAATGAAAAAGACTGCTACAGTCTCTCAGGGGTTAGAATGAAAAAGAAAGCCTTGAAGTATATGTGAACCCTCACCTTGTAAAACAACCCATTCTATTTAAAATAGAATTGAAAGGCAAAACATTTGTGTATTGATATAAAAACATTATAAACACCTTCTCCCCCCTTTTTTATAAGTGATCACATACCCTCTGTTCTCAGCTGCATAAGGAGCTCAGATAGGAAGGAAAAACAGCAGAGCACTGGTTGTCCCAGTGAATGGCTCTGTAGGAGGGAAAAGTCAGCAGAAGTATGATCATTGGAGGAGAGAAGATGGAGTTCTCAGCACAGCTAAGAAAACTGACCACTAGTATAGTCAGCTTATGATAAGAAAACAGAGGGACTGTCAGGAACACCAGGGATTCACACAAAGGAAGCAATACAAAGAGAACAGGATACTTGTTCATACAAGTACATGGTGCAGCAGGCACATATCAGGAATATAAAATGTTGGGTTTGCATATTCTTTAAGAATGGAAGGCACACATACCCCTCATACCCATTGTAAAGTGGTGAATTTCCTCTGTATTATGAGGTCTATTTATTAATGTTTTATTAATATTTTCACCCAGTACCAGGGGCAGACTGACAACTCCTGGGGCCCCCGGGCAATAGGGGATCATGGGGCCCCTGTGTCCTTGCCCAAACTCAAAAAAGCCTATGAAAAAAGGTACCAGGGGCATCTCATGGGGCCCCCTACTGACCCCAGGCCCTCGGGCAGTGCCCGAGTTTCCAAATGGTCAGTCCGCCCCTGCCCAGTACTCCCACAACTTTCACTCATAATTCAACTATTTTCCATAAAAAAAAATAGTTATAAAGATGTGTAAGTCTTGGGTGAAAATTGTGTGAACCTTTATGTTCTTCAGCACTTTATCATAAAGAATCAGAACCCTTAACTGTATATTGTACAATATCCCTGCATTTATGAACCTGAAGAAAGTAATCAAACCGAGTTAGCATAACATTTCTTTATGATGTTTGAGCCATAACCCAAACCCAACACAAAACCAAATTGTGCACATTTTCCATTTTTTAACCTTTCCTGTATTATTTCGACTTAAGTGCTTAAGAAAATGCTACAACAAATGAAGAGATTTTGAATATTCACATTTATAAAAAAATAAATAATATCAACAAAGTACAAAAATACACAGATCATAACACAGTAATGATCCATATAGAAAGAAAATCAATAATTAATCTAACATAAATACATTTTATAATATTATTAGAGATACAGTGATTCAACTTTTTTTTTTTTCTGGCAAGTGCTAAAAAGTTTGCCACTTTTTATATTTGTCTTTAATTGTACTTTTTAAACAATAAAAAGATCTGTATTCAAAAGTTGAAATGTGATACAGCTGGAAAAAAGTAGTAAAGATAAGACGATGATCTCCAGGTTAAAGTCCAGAAGGATTTTCCAGGTTGTAAAAACAGCCCACTACTTCACTGTAAAGTCAACAGACTTGGCGTTGCTAGGTATCCTTGCATAATGTTTATGTACAAAGGTGACTTTTGGTCTTGCTTGTACGTCGCTCTATAAACGCTCCAGTATTGTTGATCCTTGACAACTCATCTTTTGGTTTGAAAATATAATTCAGCTCTTCCTCTCTAGTTACGGTATCTCACCATGGAATGTCGATTCCGAGACTGAAACCACAACCATTGTAACCCGGTGTTTTCTTCCCTATGCCACTGTGGTATTCGAAGATGAACATTTATTTATTTTTTTTTTTGTATAAGTATTATTTCATCAGAAGCGCTCATCAGGTTTCTGGTGAGAGAATCTTGGTCACAACATTCAGGATTTTCTGCTTCATGTTGTATTTGTCTCCCATCAAACGCAACTGCTTGGCCACTTCGGCCACAATTTCCTTTTCTGTTGAAAAACAAAACATGGTTATTTGACTTTATGGAAGCTAGATGTTAATAAAAGTACAATAGGGCTTATTTATTAAAAAAGGTGGAACATTTTGGTTCATTTAATAGTGTGATGCTAATTTAAAATCAATTTCAAAGTAGAACTTCAGCCGGGGCTTTTCTTTGTCTTTGGATAGACTGAGGAAGGTTCAGAACCTGCTTTCAATCCTGTTCTGGTTCCCACTAGAGAGAGATTTACTCCATTGGTGACCATCGTCACTATGGTAGAAAGTGGTCAGACGACCAAAATGTTAAATTTGTCACTAGAACGCACAGTGAAATGTTCCAGGTGGGACACCTGTTCTAATGTCTTCTTTCAAAGGTGCTCTACTATCGGGCAATTGGCCACCTCAATTTAAATTTGTAATAATAATGAATAATAAAGGGTTACCTTACATGTTCTAAAAATAAAAATTTCAGGATTTTGTTACAGAAAACTTCTTTTTCTTTGGTGGTTGTTTTAAAATAAAGATGGATGAGCTGAACCAAGATGACCTACTGTACTAACTCTTTGTTTCCCCTAAGTCTTTTGGATTGCCCCTAATATAACTGGGAGATGACTCAGTTCCCTGGATAAAGAAACTTCCCATATGAAACTTGATCAACAAGATGTATTCCTGACCTACTTTTTCTAATTTTAATTGCTGACCTAGATTCACATCTGACGTGTCTCTACCTGACGTTCTCCGGCTCAGCCAAAATAGTTCTAAGATGACTAAGGTTTGACCAACATACATTTGTGCTGCTATCACCCTACCTATGACTTTGAATGTTATATAAGCCTTCGATTGCATTTTTATAAAGTTTGGAAGTTATTTCCCATGACTTGAAAAATAAAAAAAATTAAGACAACAGCAGTCTGAATGTACAACAAAAAGAAAATAACTTCCTTCCAAGAAACATTTTAAAAGATTTTACAGCACCTTTCACACAGATGCCATCCGTCCTGTCTCAATGGGGGATCCTAGACTGATCCACCTCTGAGTCAGATCAGAGCTGACATATGTGGCATCCATGTCCATTCTGATTTATCTTGTAATGGAGGAAGAATGCACCCATGCAATCCCTATGGGGGTCTGGATGTAAGTGGACTTTCATCTACTATACTTGCCCACATCTGGGCAGGTCAGTAAAAGCGGACCAGGATGGAAACTCTTTCTGCTTGGTCCAACGAACTTGAATGGACACATATGTGGGTGAATATAGGCAGATGCAGGTCTGCTTATATCCAGCTGCCTATAGGGAGGCCTTGCGGTCAGCTTTTGGTGCCTGTGATCACAGGTCAGAAACAGACTAATAGAAGGCCCATGTGAAAGAGGCCCATATGTGACTAGCTTTACAATCCACATATGCATGAGAACTTTTTACTTTTTACAGTCACTATTTTAGTCAACTGCATCCAATTTTTATGAAACCATTAGCTCTGTGTATGGAACCCACAAGTAGAAAATCCTTTACTTAATAATAATAATCATAATTTTAGCTTATGTTTACAGGTTAAAGCACAACCCTCCTCCATCTAGGAGGCTACCATTTTGAGGGCTAAACAAGTCAATGTGACAAAAACTGACTGCACTGCATGCCCTTTTAAGGTCCTTTTTTGGCTTGAGCATTCCCAAGGGGTTGACTGATGTAGCACTTCAAAGCAGCACCCCAATTGTTAGTCATTAAGCCTGTTAAGTACACCCCTAGAACTTGCAGCTTTAAAAGTTAGTAATTGCAGGTGTTATATCTCTGTCTAGACAGGTTCCCTTTAAGCTCCTACTGCATTATTACTTAATTACATAATGCTGACTGCAGTGAGTTTCGATGACAAAGCAAGTCCTAATTTCGGCAAACACTAGTCGTTTGTGATCAAGCCATCACAAACAAATATGAAATCATGTCGTAAAATATCAAATAGTGCGCTATTGTTCCCCTTTTGGAATTGACTGAAAATACTGATCAAAAATTCAATTGATAAGTCATAAGTGTAAAGGGTCGATTAAACTGGTTGTATAATTGAACTCTTTTATGATTGGTCATATTTGTTCAAATGATCAACAAATATCCACCATGGCCAATCAAGCATGACAGAGTTCAAAATTCAACCAGGATTCGGTCCGTTTAGTTACAACGAAAGATCGATTGAATGATTATACCAAAACGCATTTAGCCACCTTAATAGAGACATGATAGAAATGGACAGACTAGTAGTGTTCTACCTTTATTGCTTTATTACTTCGGGCTCATAAACAAACAAGTTTACAAAAAAAGATATCTGATGGCTTTTTTTAAATCTCTTTCCTGCATCTAGGGGTTTCTGGAGTGTTTTTGTCTCCTTATGCTGTTTGCCTTAAAGCTTTGAAGACTTGGAGCTCCACAGGAAATGGTGTGACAATGGAGAGAAAAGCAAAGCGTTTTCATGTTAAAAGAAAGAAAACAAACAATGGAGCTCCATAGCAGCTAACAAAAAAAAATGTTAACAAATACAGACCTAAGTGTTGTCCTTTTAGCGTACTATTATTTCTTACATTTTTCCTCCTTATATAAAACTCCAAAATACAGATTTTTGGTCTGATTCTTCAATTTGCAAAACATTTAAGGCATGCTGAAGTGGCCTTTCAAGCCATTTATTTCATATGTATCACTTGAGAAGCTATTTTTAGCACCCATTAAGAGCTATTGCTGCCTGCTGAATCAAGACCTTTGTCCTCTTCATATTTTTTTACTGCTAAGGAATGATGTCACCATTTGATAAGGTTGATTGGAGATATAGAATAAACATACCTATTTTTTTCCAATCGCAACATACGTGTTTGTTGACATTTAAAGCTATCACAAGTGCACTCGGATCAGTGATGTAATTCGCAATGTAGAACCCAAACTGAACGTTTTGTTAACTAATCAGAAACACCTATTCCGTCAAAAGTATTCCTTTGTCTAATAAATTGCTGCCTGATGCTATTTTTGAAATTCCTTTTTTATTCCTGTCTATGCGGGACAGGTTACTAAATACAAATGAATATCTTGTTTGCTTTATTATATTAAAGATCTCTTAAGGCTTATTATATTGCTATATATTATTATTATTACTAATATATATATATATACATTTTTTTTTTAATTGACATTATATCAATACTGTATATCATTATAACAATACTATTAACATAGTATTGTTAATTTATTAGTAGTAGGAGTAATATAATGATATTATTATAGTATTATTAATATATTATTATTCCGCTTAATTTAATAATTTTAATACTAAAATATCACTTAATCATTAAAAGTACCACATTTTCAGAACTGATGACGGGTAAAATATGTTTCATTTCTCCAAGCAAAATAAAAATATTTTTTAAATTTTATTCTAATATCAAACTACATGAGTTTCTGAATGCTACAGTAAAATGTATACTGGTCACAAAAGAGTCTACTTTTACAGAATATTCATAAGATAATATTGCAATAAAATTACAGACACTACATAAAAATACACACTAAATAAATAAATTGGAATATATGTCAGCTGAGGGACAACAAATCTCTAAATATTTTGCCACCAAGGTCTTAAAAACCTGGGAAGTCTTTAATGAATCATAAAATTTTCTACATTGCTGATTAAGTTCTTTGATAAGTGTGTGTGTTTAAAGTACACAATTAAAACATGTAAATGCGAAGGAACTGGATACATTCTTCATTTTTGGGGACAGTTCTATCCTCTAGAGCAGTCTTTATCGACCAATTTTCCATAGATTCCTAGGGTTTCTCCAGAGGTTACTAGAGGTTAGGTTCCTAGAATAATGAGCAATTTTTGTCTCTCCAGATACATAAGCACTGACAACAATGCTCGCTTAAGCTATCT